AATAAGGTATAATGCTAAAGCACAATTTATGAAACAGCTCTTAGCAAAAGCAAAATTAGCTATGTAATTAATTAAAAATGTCTTCTTTTTACCTTTTTCATGGTAAAAGTTTTTCCCATGTAATTGTCTCAGAATATTCAAAATTCTCAGAATATGCATCAATTTTCTCTATAAAATTAATTTTACACTTTTTCCCTCCTTTTTTTTCCCAAAATATTTCTGGCTTTCTGCTGTTACAGAATTGGTAGGGATAATTTTTCTTTAGGATTTTAGACATTGCAGCTTGGAAAGTTTAGAAAGGTTTGAAGGCAAGATTTATAGATCCATGATTCGAGAAATATGTCACAAAATGAAAAATGTCTCCATGGTATCAACACATAATGGATGTATTTTACAGAAAGTTTGCAATGAACTTATTACTTTTTGGGTCTGGAAGAGCAATGAAAACATAAAATTTGAATGTTTTACTTTTGTTATTAGAATGTTAACATATTTATCTTCCCTTTATTTTCTCTACTTTTCACTAGACTCAAGCATGGAAAATATAAAAAATTCTAATCTTATCACTTGGGTAGGCATTATAAAAGAGATTTTTTTTATTAATAAAGAAATTGAAACCTTACAATTTAAAAGATTCATCTAATATGTCTTAATGCATCATATACATAGCTGGCATTAGGCATTTCCCGTGTGATGCAATCTCTGTGGATCCTAAATTCTGCTTCCTAGTGCCTTTCTAAATTCTGCTTCCAATGCCTGCTTTAAATTCTAAAAGTTTTGCCATTTCGAGATTTTGTTGTTCGGGTTCGGTGTGTCACTAAATTCTAAAAATTCTGCCACTTCAGCTCTGTAACCAGCCTTTACCATATATATTTCATATTTCTTCTGAGTGTTCATATTATTAACCCTTTAACTGTCAAGTTATTTTGATGATTTGGGTACACAAATTGTCAAATTTTTTTATTGGAAAAACCAAATGTTTAGTACCAAATAAAATATACTTAAGTAGTTAAAAATTGATATTTTGAAGTACATGGGTAAAATTTTTAAAGTTTTGTAGCCACTGCATATTTGCTTGAGGCGGCTGCCACTCAACATGACGAGCATTATTATCTAAAAATGAAAAAAATTAATTATTTTCTAAAAAATAAATAAAAGTAAATACCTATTAGTAGTTCAGTAATTCAGTCTTGTGTGGTACAACTGGAAAAACTTTTCCAAGCACAAACCAACTCCACAATCACTACATCGGAGTCGGGTTTCCTTCCTTATCTTTTCACCTATTTTTATCCTTTTTCGAACAACACACTTTGCACTGTCCTTGTAGGCCTCACGTTCCACAGGAGTAGAAGGAATACGGAGAAATAAAATGTTCGTTCAGTAAGACGGGCAGGGTTATCCCTTGTAGAGGTCTGCCAACATTCTTTTGTCCAGAAGCTGCATCATCATATTTATGTAAAAGCTTTTCTACAACTTGGATTCGAAATTTTAAAAATGTAATACGTTTCTCAACTACATTTTTAGAGCAAATATCAATTCCAAAGTACCTCGGGCATGACAGTTAAAATGTAAAAATATTTTTCTGACGTTTTCGGATTGTTGGATGAAAGGATATTTCCTAATCACAGTGATCTACACCACCCATAGTTAGACTGTAGTCAGAAACAATCTTTGGCTTGAGTATATCTTCATTTTTTTTTTTTTTTTTTTTTTTTTTTTTTTTTTTTGAGGCTGACCATGGAAGTATCATAAATACTGCTCATCAAACACACATTCTTCATCTTCGGTTGAAGAATCTAAATCATCTATATAACGTTTCAAAGAACTGGATGCCATTTTACAACAAAAAGATCCCGTGCACTTTGCACCAAAGAACTTATAACCTCCAACCTTTGAAATCTTCAGTAAAGTGCTGTCATCTATTGAATTGAGCGCACATTAACTTTAGCCGAGATACAGTCGGGTTTGACAAAGATATGAAGCCGAAATAAACATCTCCCGATATATATTCGGGTATGACAATACGATGCACTCAAAAAAAAAAAAAAAAAAAAAAAAAAATTACCCCGAGAAATACTTGGGCGTGACATTTTCGAACACCAGTGCTGTGCCCAAGATAATCTCGGGCATGACAGTTAAAAGGTTAAAAGAAAACTACCCGCTTTTTCTGAACTAATTCTAAAAATTCTGCCACCTCAGCTCTGTAACCAGCCTTTACCATATATATTTCATATTTCTTCTGAGTGTTCATATTATTAAAAGAAAACTACCTGCTTTTTCTGAACATTCTAAATGCATTTCGTGTTTTTTAGAATAACCCAATTGTTTATGATTTCAGTCTTTACTATAATTTCCCATTTCTGTTTCCTCATATGATGGAGTTATTGAGTCAGATTAAATTAAAATTAATTTGTATAATCTTTGACCACTAGTCCACATTTTCAGTTTGAATTTGATTGTTCTTGTTTAATTACGTTGCCGTAAGCTGTAATTGATTTTGTTAGCATCGGAACTTGCCTATATGTTCCAAGTTCTTTTTAAATAAGAGACTTATTTAAACCTTTGTCTGATATTGTAGTTACTTTCAGACAAAGCGATAAAATTCTTCATGTCTGTCCGGGATTTTAGACTATTTAACTTTTACCAGATCAAGTAAACCCTTACAGGTACATTGTGGAGAGGTTGGCAAGTTAGGAGATAAAGCACACAGAAACTAAGAACGGCATTGGTTTGCATATTGAGAAAATCTCTAATTGCTATTAAATGTGCTCAGAGAAGGAAATTGATATAAATTAAGCAAAATGTTTGGGAAAGCTTCAAATTAAAATTTGTTATGGATCATGCTGTTTATGATCTTACTTCTCATATTAACCTATGCCATTTGACATAAAATCTGCCTGCTTCTAAAATCTAGACTGACCAAGTATGTGACAAAAAGAGACATAAAAAAATCAACATAAAGCTAACTTAATAAAATGTAAATGCCACTTATCTTTTTTCAAATATGACCAACTATTATAAGTGTAAAATATTTAATGCTACTTGATAAATTGCATAAAGTTTATTTTATTCTCAATCTTATTAATAATTATGTTCATTAATTCATGTTTAGTAATAATGCATACTACTTAGGGATCTATTTTATTTTTAGGATGGTGTTGGAAAAGTGAAATTCAGACATAGATAATATTTTTAATTGAATACTTCAGTTCTCATTTGCTCATAGGTCCTTAATTTTTTCATTAATGGTCCTTAAAAGTACTTAATTTCCATGTGTATGAACCCTGAGTTTGCATCATATGTAAAATTTAATCTTGACTTCTGATCAGGAAGAGCACAAAGTCCAGTTGTTAGTCGTAAGTTTTCGTTGAAATTTTTTGGAAACTTGCTGTAAAAATGTACCTTGTAAGAACTGTACTTTCTGTAGCTTCTTTGTACAATTCAAGATCTGATCACAATCACATCTAAAATATTATAGAGCACATGCATTGCCCATCTATGATTTCCTATTTTTATTTAACAGTTTCTAGACATTTTAATAGGGTTGTCAACACTATACTACACTGCTGGCCACCCAAACTGCAACACCAAGAAAGACAAGAGATATCACAACAAAATTTATTTAGTAGATAACATGTTGACCAAGTATCAAATAATTAAGTTTATAGATTTCTGTGAAGTATGGTTCTTTCCAGAATCAGTAGCCAGAGTAGCCGCCATTGGTGGAGATCACAACTGCCACATGTCTCGGCATTGATTCGAAGAGACTTTGGATGTGTTCTTGGGGTATAGCAGACCAAGCAGCTTCGACAAGTTGATCTGGTGTGGCAGCTTGGGATGTAATCTGGGTCAATTGTTTAGCAACCATGAACCACATGTTTCTATCAGCGAAAGATCCGGAGAGCGAGCCGGCCAGGGAAGCAATTCAATCTGGCGATTGACGAACCCTTGGGCAATGCGAGCCACATGTGGTCGCTCATGTTGAAATATGGCTGTGAACAAGCCCTGTAGGTAAGGAAGGACAACTGGCTCCAACACCTTGGAGATGTGTAACACTGGCTGTTTAAAGTACCGGCTATGCATACTAAAAGAATGTGAGAATTATATCCAATACCGCCACATACCAAAATACCCAGTGCAGGACCAGTGTGGCGGTGAATAGCGCAGCTGTTCAGCATCCTCTCTCCACGGTGTCCCCAGACTCGAATCCAACCATCATGGTGTTGCAGACAGAAGCGTGACTCATCAGTAAAGACAATTTCATTCCATTCTGCCGTCCTTATTCTTCTTTCATCGCACCATTGGTGGCGGAGATGTCCGTGGTTCTGCGTCAGTGGAAGACGAAACAATGGATGTTTTGCGGACAGACCACCTCTACTGTAAACGGCATCGAATGGTATGCGCAGACACTGGATGATGCGTTGCAGACTGAATGTGCTGTGCTATGGTTCGTGATGTGACTGAGCGATCCGTCACTGCCATGCGCACAATGTTCCTGTCATCACGTGAAGTGGGGCACTGAGGTGGATGTGATCAAATGTGATAAGTACAGAGATTAAATTGCAATTAAAAAAAACGTGATTAGTTAATTCCCTAAGGTGATCTGTAGTTTGAAATTTTCACTTTGTGGTTTAATTTTTTAAATGTTAATTCTGTATGTAAGAATTTCACTTTGTTTTCTTTACAGTTTAAACAAATATAAAACAAATAAGTAAAACAAATATTCTTTAAAAAAGTAAAACAAATATTCTTTGATAGTAGAAGTTAGAAGAATTTTAAAAATTGTACTAATCTAACTTTCTTAATGTTTTCTTTCTGTATGAATGCATAGAATATTAAAGTGAATTGGTCTAATTGTAGTTTTTATACCTTTGAGTTATTCACAATAAAAATATCTAAGGAAATTTTATATTTATGGATGTGGTAATTTTGAATTCAACTTTTATTGATATTTAAATGCGGTTTCATATATACAAACTTTGTATCACTTTATCTTATAGGCATTTTATAGTATTGACAGCCACTGCACCTACAAAAAAAGAACATCTAGAATGGTGAGTATATTTTTTATGCATGTAAATGTATACTGAATTATTAAACTGTCTTTCACAAATTTAAAATCTGGTATTACTGTATCGTTTGTATATTCTTAGATTTAAGATGAAATTAGAAATTATAGTATTAATTTTATCCTTGCTTTCAGGTATGGTTTAGTGGAATCAAAGATAAGAATTTTAATATCTCATTTAGAAAGGCATCCAAATATAAATTTGGCTCATGTTAATCCAGAGGCATTTACACCTTTGGAAGTGGAATCGTAAGTATAGTTTGTTTTGTGTGCGACATAGCATTTATCATGAATATTATAAGTAATGAAAAAATTTGAATCATTTTCTGTAGTTCCTTAATTTATAAATTCTAAATGATGTTAGTAATAGATCTTTGAACTTGTAATATTTAAGAGCTATGTATGTCTTATATTCGTTTTACTTTCATATTTAAATGTGAAATTGTACTTTTGGTTTACATTTATAGCAATAGTGATTCTTTATCTTCATAAATTTTATGTATAATTTGAGTATGTCATAGACGTTTATGAAGAAAGCTGGATGGTTATATGAAAGGCAGCCATGGCCTGTAGCTTTTTTTATTCTTGACATCTAATATTCCTTAAATATAACATTTCTAAATTGGGGCAAAATACCAGTACTCCATAATTATTAATTTACTTTTTGCATATTCACAGAATTTTGAGTGATAGAAAAAAGATGGCAGACGACATCTTAGCATTGCGAGAAGATTTCAATATTGATACTAGGTTAAAGTAATTGAAATTATTGTTCTGTCTATTGTGTTAGTTGATTAAAAGTACATTTACTTACATAATGTGTCATAAATGCTAGAGGAATTGTATGACAAGTATTAATTTTGAAGCAGTTGAGAAAGATTTGCAACGTTCCATCCTAACGACTTCATTGCCAGGTTTGTCAACTATTTTTATCTTAGGCTTCACTCTTCCAATTTTTTTTTATATTAATTATAAGTATTACTTTTTATTAGAGAATTATATTTTTATTAGAGAGTCATAGTTGTGTCAAGAATTAATGATAAAGACAGTTTCATATAATATCACAGTTAACAGAAGCTGGATTTTCATGATGTCGGATTCAAGTTTGAATTCTAGATAAAGCATGACAATTGTGGCTTATTTTCTAGATTTCTGTCGGTTAAATTTGTGATGTAACTTGGATACCTCTTATAAGATTTGCCTAAATAAAATAATGCATTTTTAAGTAATAAGCTTTTTTAACTTAAAAATTATTTTCAAGAAATCTTTCACTGTAAAGTTTAAGGGTGAATAAATGTTATTCTAAGTTTTGAATTGTGAAAAAAGGAATTGTTACATAATGAATGTAATTAAAATTATTTCAAAACTGAAAATATGTATAAATATATTTTTCTAAGAGATTTATAGTTATTGTATTTCGTTGATTATTAAATGAATTTTTCCCCATATAAATGTCTCCAAAAACTTGTGCACTTCTTTTGCAGTAATATATATGCATACAATTTCTCTGCATTTTTAACAACATCGAACACTTCATTTTTACTTGAATGCCTAGTTTTAAGACATTTTTATTTGGATGTTTAACCACTTGCGCTACGATTAAACTTCACGCTAAACCATGCGCTACAATATAACAAGTGGTAAAGTGTCTCATTTATGCCACTCCACGTCTGCAAGTGCAATCCAGAACTGTAACTCAAGAAATAAACAATCTCGTTGTTAGGCGACATGTGTACCAAGTTATTTTCATTTTTGCAATAAATGCCTATCGACGTGCGTGGCACGTCTTTTTAGCGCAAGTGGTTAAGAAATTTGCTCTGTCATAATGTGAGTTGAAAGAAGTCATTGACCTGTATTAAACGAATTTGATTTAATAAGCTTTGCTTGTAAGTTATAGCTTATTTAATAATATTCCAGTTTTTTTTTTTTTTTTTTTTTTTTTTTTCTTTTCCAGTTTGTATTTGTTTTGATGCATTAAATTCAAAATTTTGCAATGATTGAAAATACAGTTCCTTTTATATGTTTCTCATTACATTGACAAGGTTCCCATATATTTCAATATATTTTTATCTGGCATTTACAGTTTAAATGTATTATTTCAGAGACACATACCAGTCTATGTGGTTTATGGGGTTGCAGTTTTCAAAAACGGGGAATGTTAATGTTGATTTGACATATGACATTCAAACATTCACCGATTCAAGTAAGTCTATCCGTTATTTAAATATGAATGTACTTAAATAAAATAATGTGTGTTCAAACCAGGGTTCATTTTGCATCATCAGAAAACATTTTTTACCTTGCTGTCACAGAAGCTAGTTGTAACCAGTAGAAAATGGCAACAGTTGGTAGAATCACATGTACTTATATTCTTAAATGTGCACCTTCCGCTTGTCTACGACTTGTATGTACAACAAAAGCTCAACTATCCAGAAAGTGGCGAGTTCTGAATATATGAAAATTTGAGATAGTGTATAAAAAAAAAAAAAAAAAAAAAAAAAAAAAAACAGATTTTAAGTTAGAAAAGCCAAATCAATGAGGAAAAACTTCCGCTCTAAAATTATAAAATCAATCATCTTATTGGTTACTGACTTTATTATCAAAAGCCTACATTTAAAACTGTAAGGGATTTGTGAAAAAATATATATATATTTTTAGACATAAAAGCTGACATATTCCGTAGGCCTTAAACATTAAAATAAAGCATAATCCAATTATGAAATCTTTCTGAACAGAAAAATGGCCGAGTTGTCGCCAATCATCCCAGAAGAAGTTTAAGTAGGTAATGGTTAGCACATAAAAAAATTTAATTGCATATCATAATTTTTCATGTTACACCACCATTTATCGTTTTCAAATTGCCATATTGTGTCATTTGTTGATGCCTGGATCCTGTAACTTTGAAAATACTACATTTCATGCAGCCCCAGATATTACTTTTTCAAAAGGCTAAGAGTGAATTTATATATTTTTTTACAAAAAATTAATCTGCCTTATCAAGAATTAACCAAATTTGCATTAAACCAAAACAAATTTTTGATTGCATTGTGACATCACTCTTATCCATTATTGGTGTTAAATCACATTGCTTATTGACAATATATATGTGTTTATAGTATTATAAGCTCTATAATAATGTTATAAATTTATGAAATTCCAAAAATCATCCCAAAATGCTGTAGCACTGAAAACCAGCAACTCAGAATGCTTAGCTTTCAATCCAGAAGAGTGTACAACAGATGCAAAATGGTCAGATAATAAAAATTATTAAAGAAAAAAAAAATCCAAAGAGCACTATCTCCTCAGAGAGCATGTGTTCAGATGATTTTTACTTAGAAATGGGTATCCCCAAACATCTTCTACCCCCAAAAATGAAAAAAGCAAGCCTTCTTAATGACTGTTTTGGCATTGTAGATTAAACAATAACCTTGTTTGTATAAAAAACCTATACAGATTCTTTATTGCTTGGTTCCTGGACATGATGGGATAAAGGGAAACAAGTTAGTGGATATCAGAGCAATGTCTGCACCAGAATTCTCCACTCGGGTCATTCCTCTTGTTCATTAAGAGCAAAACTCCAAATAAATAGCAGCTGTTATGGAATGTTCAGATTGATAACAAACTAAGAAATGTCAAACCCAGAATGGAATAGTGGGAAGCTACTAAAAGTTGGAGGGAGGAGGTTTTTTTTTAACACGCCTAAGAGTTGGTCCCTCTCATCTTACTCATAATTGTCTTCTGAAAGTTGAGAGTGAACCTATCTGCTCAAAACGTATCTACAGTGTTGTTCTGTCGGTGTGGCATATTTTAGTTGAGCTTTATTGGGCTTTGTATGAAGTATTTCAATGGTTCTAGGGTTAGTCTTGGCAAGCTGCATGAGATCAAGACATAATGTTTAATGTATTTCAGTATTTAAAAGAAACTAGTTATGTGCCAGTAAATTTACCATATCAATACACCTCATGCTGCTTGTGTGTCATTCAGTGGAAAACCTAACAGTAAGACTATAATGCCGTGGTGAGAGGTTGGCAGGTCAGATGAACATCTGTTCGAACTGAAATATTTTACAGTTACTTGGAATTGTTAAATAATCTCAAAAAACAAGAGGGTAGAAAAGGGCATAGTTTCAATAAAAATAATAGAGATTGTGAATATATAATAGTGTTTATAAATACAATGCATGTGAGTTATCAACATGAAATATAAAAAACATTACAGAAGAAATAACTCAATAATGTATGTTGACCATTAAAATGGAATGAAATAAATTTAATAAAAGACAAGCATTTGTTTCATCTAAATTCTAAATCGCCTAATGTGTGGACAGCAAGAAAGTGTGAGAGCATTATTTCATGATATAAATCTATATTTTATGCTTTTACATCAAAGCTGTTCTAGTAAAATTTTTATGCACATTTTTTAATGTCTTACAAAATGTTTTAACTTTTAAATTTGGTATGTTTTAAGAATGTTTATTTGCAAAACAAGGTTTTATAACTCTTTTTTGTACAATGTTGATACTGCAAGTAGTGCTGGGCTTGAAAGAATATTCTCCATCTTCTCATTTATTCATAGTAAATTGAGAAATTCTTTGGGTTTGAAACACCAGCTTAATTGGTCTTCTTTTATATGTTAACTCAAATGTCAGAATAAACTTAAATGTTGATTTATAAATTATAAGTACTGTAATGTAACCTTTGAATAAATAATGTAAACATTATAGCCGAATATGTTTATTTTAAAATGTATTTTTCTCTGTTGTTTACAATATTTTGATTAAATTTTCCAAAAGTAACTTCTAATTATTTTAGGAATTTTTGCCAACTGTTGCCATTTTATGGCAGAAAGCTTTGCGAATGTGTCTTTAATCACTTCAGGGGAACTTGCCAGTCTTGTTGAAAATGTAATTTGTAATTATATAACTGAATTTATTAATTATTTTCTTTATTGTTTTTATTTTAGGGAAAATATTTATATAAAAAGCCATTTTGCTTTGTAGTAATTTGTGTATATTAAATGACTGAGTTGAAAATTACTTTCCTATTATTTTAAACTTTTTAGATGAATTTCAAAATTAATTTCAATAAATATAACCAGTTAATAAAATTTTCAGTAATATAAAGTTGAGACAGCTGGCCTTTTTCAAAATAGTTTTTCTTTATAGTTACAAGGCAAGCATCGAATATTAATGTATATAAAAAGGGCATGAAAATAGAAACAAAACACGTACGTAGGTAAGTTTGTTTAAATCTTTCATAACCACATTATTTAGATTTATTTCTTAAATTCTGTATGGGCTATTAGTCATTAGTTTGCTTAATATATCATTCATGTATTTAGAAAAGAGTTGTCCAAATATCTTCCTGCTAGTATTCTTGGAAAGAATAAAAAGAAAGATAGAACTGTAAGTATTTTTCCTTTAAAAAATTTAATGTATTATGCTTCTAAAATTTTATTTGTGAAAATATTTAACTGATTAAAATGGAATTTCATTAAAAATTTTGTATTATTTTTTAAATTAAAATACTGCAGAAGCTGACAAGTATTTTTATGGAACTTTACTGAATAATAAGCAAAAATTCAACTTGTGTTGGACATTTGATGCAAAAATTGTATGAAAACTTGAACTTGATCATGAAGCCACAGTTTTCATACAATTTTGCATGATTAATAAATTTAACTTTTATTTAATATCAATTAGTGAATCAAGCATTTTATTAACATGTAAGTGTAAATTTTATTAATTATTAAATTACAGTGTACTCTTTTAAGTGCTTATGTTTAATAGAGTTCAAAATGTATTTTTATAATATTGATTGAATTATAAATTGTCATAATATTAATAACTATAATAAGTGAATAAAACATTTTATATAAATTTATCTCACTTGTGAATAATTTTATAATTCTGTCTTTATTGTCTGTAATGAATACAGCAAAACTTAATTTTTCTGATTTTGTTTTAAAAATTGTTTAGGAAATTCATAGGCTAGGATTCATAATTATATATTTAATTGATTTTTATAATTTTGTGAGAAGTAAAATTATATGCAGTATTTGTTATATATATCACACACACAATATATATATATATCATAATTTACTGCATAGGAGAAATAAGCTTGCAATCGTCATGGCTTATGGTTAAGGCAAAAAACAGATGAAGATAATGAATTGGATTTTGATTAATTACCAATCTTTATTTTCACTTGCTATGTACATTGGTTTTTTAAAGAAATGGCATAGACATTTGGGATGGGGAAGCAAAGCAGCGTGAATGTTGGTGTGGTAGAAACTAAGGAAAGGAATGACATAGTTTTTTGTGCCAAGAGTATTTATACTAAGTCTGATGTAATTGTAGAGACAAACTATGATTGTTTAATCTTAGCGTTGTTACATAACATAGAAGGATCTCGAATTTAGGAGAACAGATGATTTTAGGTAGAGAGCACCAAATCTAGAATTGTTAATTTTTAAGTTTCCAATTATTTTTAAAGCAACTATTATATTTTTTATATCTTACATATATGTGTACATATATATATATATATATATAAAGCTGTTCTTAAAGTATATGTCCTTTTTAGTCTAATTCCAATGTTAGCAATTTAACAACTGTACCAGCTGGTGAAAATAAATCAGTGAAAAATGTTGGTAATGATTCTTCAGCTGAAATGAAGTCTCCTGAGAGGCCAGAGGTAAAAATTAAATTTTTTTATTGATGTTGAATCTTATTTTTATTTGATTTCAGTCATTAAACCTCATGAAGATTACGGTTGCTGAATAAAATTCTTTTAATAAGTATCGTTGTTCAAAATATGAAAAGATGTTTGTAGGGTTCACTGGTTGCAAGATAAAGCAATTCGTTCTTCCCATATATGCAGCCTATATATCTGTTCTAAATTTGTAATGTGAGCTGGATTCCTTTGCACCCACTGCAGTGCATAATTGGAATGCTAGCTGAGCTTGTTAATGACCATCAAAAGGTTAAGTAAAACAATTAATATACTTTTTGATGTGTTCCTGAAAGGAATATCATCAGCAGCGATTTCTCCAAATGGGGGTGATGCATGCGTAATATGCACAAAAAGAAAGGAAATTATGATACTGGAGGTGAAGAGAGCGTTTATTTGGATGAAACAGCTACAAAATTTAGAGATGAGTGTGTTGTACTCCTGCATTTGATTTGGATCCAAGTAATAATAATTTGCATGATGCAAGTGAATGCGGTTAATAAAAAGCGTGAGGCATGTTAGATTTTTGAAAATTGATTGGCCAGGATTTAGATATTTTGAAATAAGTGCAAAAATATAGAGAGAATCACAAATTATTTTCTTGAAAAATAGCCTTAGAATATTTTTTAATAAATATTGTCCATAGTGACTGCAGAATGTCATTGTCACATTGTGCGGTCTTCAGAAATTCAGAAGGAAATTCACATATCTACCATAGGATATGGTTCCCTTAATAGACATCAGGCATGGAAGATGTATGGTATTCCATAACAAAGGGTATTTTTAAGATGCTGGTCATTGATGCCTATTGGAAATTATATGTCTGCTTTGAAGACTCTTATTTCATGCAGTGCTGCCTCTGATCATTCATGTATGATGGAATGAAGTGATATTTTGCAAATCATTTCATATTGTCTTGGATGGATAGATCCATATTTATAGATTCATAGTTATAGATTTTATGTGGTTGTTGGTGTAAAGTTGAGTGATTGGTGTTTCAGTTTTCACAATTTCTGAAACATTGACATCCTCTGCTTTCTAGCCATACAATGAGTATATTTTGATTCCACAAGACATCGAACCCCAGATTGTTGATTTGTCAAACTATTTGCTGTGATCTTTATGTTGGTCAGAATGCCAACCAGCTGAACTGGATCTTTCAGACCCGGCGATACAGCCTGTCAGAACTTAAGTCATCTACTTGTGCACTAAAATTCAACAAATGAGGTTCACGCTGCTCAATTTGCCGTAACTACATTTATGTCTGACATAGCTATATGTATATTTTCTTCAGTTTGTAATGATTGTCAATTAACTTACCATTAACCTTTAAAAAAATGTGCTAAATATTTGCCTGTAGAATAATTTGTGAAAGAAATAATAATTAGGTAATCAAATCTTTGCTTTCTGCGTAACCTATTGGTGGGCATGAACAAGCTTAACATGCTTTCGATGAGTACTGTATCTGCAATCAGGAGTGTGCACTGGTGATTTGACCTTATTTCTAAAATAATCAAAAATTCTTTGAGTAACATTTCACACAAATGGAATTTAGTGAATATATATGTAATGATGCAAGCGCTAAAAATCATTTTGCATAATTGAGAGGAATTTTGCCTGTGAATTAAGAAAAATGCATCTGGGTTTTTTCTTATTTCATCTATTGCTGGTGATTTCCTTTGCTGGCTTACCGATAAACAGAGGGATGTAAATTTTCATTAACTAATGATTTGAGTTTGCGCAAAGAATGAATTTTTAACAAATGAATATGAGTGAATACATTTATTTTGTGTTTTGAAACTAAAATTGTGATGTTAATAAATTCAGAAAAGCAACCAAGAAATGAATATTTCAGCAACAGTTTACATTATTATAAAATTTCTAGATGTCATCCAGTATTATGTAGATTTAATTATAGTGGTATTATAGGCAAGAAAGAAATTTTCTATTAAAAAGTTTATATGTTAATCCCTCACAAAAAGTTAATGCCTTAATTTTTGCAGTTTTGCTGAAATAACATAAATTAGCTACTTTGGGATACTGTGTAACAGAAAACATGGATTAAAGTTTTGAATATTGCATTTTTGTATCAAATAGTAACTACCTATATTGTAGTTATTTGTTTTTATTTTAAGAATGCAAGGATTAATTACCCAAAAATAATAAATAGTTTTTTAACTAATTTATGAAAAACGATACTTTTATATTAAAGCCATTGCAGTAAGTATATTTTTTACCATAACGGTATTCCAAAACTTTTTGTTTTAGTTTTTTTAGGTTTCTCCCTAAATATTTAATAAATTTGTGTGTGGATTTTTTTCTGCTTGATTTCTTTTGGTTTCATCTCAGATTTTTTTTTTTTTTTTTTAATTAAAGAAAAACGAGAATAGGGGGAAAGATCTCTCCCTTTTGGGGGGGGTCATTTATTGTGACATTATGTACTGTCTCACGAACACTCATTAAATGTTAGACACCTAATGTGTGAAACAATGAAATAATAATATTGTGAAATACTCCAAATAGTGAAGTTCATTGGGGGGGGGGAAGACTGATTAGAGAAAAAATGTTGCTGTGCACTCAGTGGTTATAAAGACAATTATTGCCATGAAAGAAGCCAAAATCAGACTTGCAAGGCTTAGTGTAGAAAACCACATTAAAACAAAGAAAGTGGCAAATGGTAAGATTTTAATGGTAACGAGTCAAATAATATGTGTGAAAATAAGTTCGGGCACTTTTTGAATGTGTTTTGCAAAATCTAAGTAATTGATAAATTGCACTTTTTATTTCATATATTCTTAAAAATTTACTGTATTAATTTTTTATATTTTCCAGTTAAATGATTCCATTTCTTCAGCTAATACAGAGAAATCAGTGAAAAAAAGGCCAATAGAAGATGATAGTAGTTCAAAAGCTAAACGTAGGTCTTGCTCACCAGTTTCATTGCAAAGAGACATTCCACTCCCTTTCTTGGAAAGGGGAAATGATTCTGCTACTGATGACTCTCAGGTAGAACCTCAAATTTTGTCTTCAGTTTACAGATTCTCTCGAGCTTCAATTTACAGGCCCCCTCATGCTTCAGGCCCCTCACGCCTCATGCATGTAATTTAATTAATCCAACAAGAATGGCTTCCAAAAGAATGTTTTTAAACCCCATAAAGATTATTGCTCTAAAAGTAATGAACTTCCTTTAAAATGCTTCTTTTAGCTGCAAGTTCATGCATGTTTGCTTAAAAAAAAAAAAAAAAAAAAAAGTATTTTGTTGAAACTTTACTGCTAGCATTGTATTGCTTCTTGCATTTTTCTTTAATTGTATTTTAATGCTGTTTCTTTCTTTCTTTCTTTTTTTTTTTTTTTTTTTTTCCCCTCCACGTTTCATGCATAATGCCAACTCTATCCTGCTTTTTCTTCTGTCTATATTTGTAATATAAAGTGCAATACGTTTGTGTTGTCATTTAAGTGCTTGTGTGCAGTGATAAGAGCTTGTGTATTGTCATTTAAAATTTTAATCCCTGTGTTCAGATTTTTAAGAATAGAACAAGAAGTCCTTTTTGTATTGCTTTATTTATGCCTTACATATAAAGGTTAAGATAAGTTATATTATGTCAGGTTTTGCTTAGAAATCAATTTTTAATGTTGTTGTGCAGCATATTTCACAATGGATAAACATTAGCCTTTATTTACTTGTTTACCTGTTGCCAGTTTATTCATAGTAACATTGTTTATTCAATGTGTATAACCTCTTTAATATGTTTAATGCAGGTTTGATATTGTAAAATATAGCTTATAATATTATTATAGTAAGCTTTGTGCTGTTATGTCAATTTGTAAGTGATGTAAATTATTCTTCTTGTAAAGGCTTCACAACTTGAATTATTACATGCTAGTTCTGTAATATACTTTGTAATATAATATTAAAATATTTTAGTACTTCACTTTGTCTGTTTTAAATATTTAAAAAAAGTTCTGTAGTAAGTTATATTGACATGAATTCTCGTAAAAATTAAAGATTTTGACTGTAAGGACTTGCAGAAATAACTTATTGATTTTTAATAATATCTGGGGAGGGCGGCATTCTTATTTACATGAATTTTCTGTGAATTTTTTGGGGGTAGTAAGGGGAGTAAAGCGTAGTTTATTATTTATCATTATTGAGTTCATTAGTTTTATCATTTGGTGATTGATAACTCTTAATTCTGTAAAATTTTATTATGCAATTATATGAATGTAACCTCATTAGTAAAACTGTATAAAAGGAAATTATTTTACTCATTATATTTAAAAATAATACTATAATTTCTTTCTGACCTATAAATTATGTTTAGTTTTGTATGTCATTAGAATTTCAAAACATGTTTTTGCTGAATTTTTAAGCTTAAATTGAGATACTTTGCAGTTGAGAAATTAGACTTGTACTCAAATTAAATTTGTGTGAATTTCTAGAAACGTTAGATTAATCGGTGTATTTATATATTTAATAAAAACATATCACTATTATCCAGAATTTTAAAAATATATTCAAGTACTAAGCAAAGTATGAAAAGGTCTTTTGATAGTACTTCTGTTAGAGAATAATTTATATTCTTGTGACACTGCTTGCCTTTGCAGAACCTCTCTTTTAGTATCGAAGTTTTTGAGAACCACATACCAAACTGGTAAAAGTGAAAGATTTTTTCCATTTAGTGTAATGTCCATCATGAATGAACCGTGAATTTTAGCTCAGAGTAAAATATTAAATAACTGTGATGTATTTCTTAAAGATTGAAGCATAGCAAACTTTTGCCGCTTCCCTTTTCATAAATGACTTTTAAAGGTTCCTTTTCATGCCCTTTTCCAGAGGGTGTTTCTCCCATTTGACACTGTTTCTTTTATTTTTTTGGTTTTAAATATATACACAATTACTTTATAATATGAGTTTTGTTTTTGAATTTGATGAATGATGTATCAAATAAAAATTTGAATTTGGATATTGAACTTCAGATTTTTCATTATTTATCTTAATTCGCATACTATAAAATATCAAGTAGTGTTTCTTGAAGTATGAAAATGCAGATATTAGAAATACTACTTGGAATCTGAAGAAAGTAACTACTCTCTTATCTTTAAATACATACATAGTTTATATGTGCTTTAAAATAGTTTTCTTCTTGTTGATGAGAAATATTGTTCTCTTATGTAACATCTTTTATTACTTTAACATAAAGGAAAAGTGAAAATTAATGTCTCGTTCATCTCAACTTTGCAGTATGAATTTTCCTTTTTACTTTGTGTCATTTCTCTTCCTTCCTCCCAAGTTCCTTTAGGGAAATAAAGATAAAAATCATTTTTCATAAGATGTATCTAGGGTGATATATGATGCTTATTAATTAACTTTATTGTGTTGTTATTTATAGCACTTAAATAATTGCAGAAATTTAGATGAAAAAATCACTACAAATAAAATAAAAATATAAAATAAATTCTGAAATGAATGAAAATCAAATCACTTATATCTATTGTAAGGAAAAACGAGTATGTGAATATAAGTTTTATATTATTATAGTAGTTTAAAGAGCATACAGAACTTTTGCTTATGATGCTTTTTCCAGTTCTTATTATATTGTTTATCATTGATAGTCTTGCTATTATAAGTAATTCTGTTTAAAAAATTCAGCAGTTATTAATATACTTAACTTCATATTACATTAATTCATTCTTATGATTTTATATCTGATTCATACAAGGTTATAACCATGCGTTGCATAATCATATAATTCTTTTTTGATTTAATATACAATATATATAAAACAAATATGGATTAACAGCATTTATAATTCAAAATTTGAACCTCTGACATGTTCATTATGAGTACTGGGTACTAGTTGCATGTTTAGAAAATTTTAGGTTACTACTGAAAATGTTAAGTATGATTAATAATTAAGTGTTCTGTCTTTGTGTACAATAAATGTTTAAGTATAGCTGTGCATCTAAAGGGATTGGTGCTTGAATATAGTTATGCAAGTTTGAAGTCTTTTAGAAGAACTTTTAAAATTTTTAAAATAGATTTTACGTCTTTATGCACTTTGATGATGCCACCCAGCTGAATATACTAATGTAAAATATAGGTAAAAAGCTTTTGAAAGTGATTTAAATTCAATATTATTATTTTATGAAAAAATTTAGCATATATAACATTGCATGTGTAAACTGTATCATGCTGTAATTGAACTAGTAGAATGTTATAAGGAGGTGTAACTCAGGCGGAAAATGAAACACTACGACACAGCTGAAAAATTGTTGCATTTTTGTAATTATATTTTATGCATTAGATAATATATAAAAAGAGCATATTTCATGCCGTGAAAGCAAGAATTGCCCCCCCCCAAACACTTACGATTATCGGACCCCATTAGAGCACCTTTTTAATTGTGTAAATATAGGTTGAAACTTACTAGGTTTCAAACTTCCTTTCTTCTTTATATTCAAAGTACTTTGAAATATATCATTTTGTTTGGGAAGAAAAGCTGTTAAACGGTTTTATTTTTTGCCATAACTTGTTAGTTTTAACTTAAAAGGAAATTTGATTTCGATTTATACTGTTTGGAGTCTCGATGGTTTTGTCAGACGAAACATGTTTGCATGATCTCTTTTAATCAGCTTGGTTGAAGGCGTCAAGTACTTTTCCCTTGACAAGTTCTGTTTGAACAGAGAAGATTAACAATAATATTTTCTGTAGTTTGGATAGTTTTTTTTTTTTTTTTTTTTTTTTTTTTTTAATTCTTAAATTAGCTTTATCACTCATATTACATAGCATTTCAGGAATTTTGATAGGATACTACAATTGTTTTTAATGATTTTTGCTAGGTTTCAAACTTCCTTTCGTCTTTATATTCAAAGTACTTTTAGATGCAAAGCCCTTATTTCAATCAATCAAAAAAAAAAAAAAAAAAAAAAAAAAAAAAAAAACTCAAATCTTTACTCCCTCCTTTTTTTCTTTTCCTTCGAAAAATAAATGTTTTGCATCTAAAACTATCCTTTGAAATTACATTAACTGACATTACATTAACTGTCTCACATTAACTGTGAAGACTTATTTCGAAAACCATGTACTTCTATTCTAACTCAGGGGAAAAATTTCTCTTGTGTTTCCTAGTTTCTCATCTGAAATTAACAAAGCATAAAAGCATGCTTTTAAATCAGCAGTTTTTCCATTCCACTAAGAGATAATCCTAAAATGCATTTCTGTTCCCCCTGTTTGTAAGTGAACTTTTCTTCTGTGTGATGATATCACAGCCTCTTTGCGGAGATAGCATTACAAAATAGCTGTCAATCACCTCTTCCCAATTTTGCTGCATTCTAGGATTTTATAAAATACGAAGCGACATTTGTCTTTCAAGGCTAACATGCCACATTAACCCCTACAATTGTGCAACGTTTTGATGTAAGCAAAGGAAAAAATAAACTAATATAATTTTATTCATTTTCAGTACAGGGTCAGTAAACCCGTCCCTCCCTATGAACAAAATATTGAATCCTAAACAACTGTAAATTAATCATAAACAATTATAATATAAAGAAAATCTGTCATCTCACAGAGTAGAGAAGGAGATGCCTGGTGCTGCTTTCTATTGGCATGGTAGCCCCGGTATGGGATAAATGATACCGACTGATAATTAAGGGAACTATGTAAACTACAGTTATGTAAACTGATAATTAAAGGATCATTATTTAAAATTGTATAAATAATCTTCCTTTAATTATCAGTTCTAACTGAAATACAGCAAATATATAAGATTCAGCATGTGTACACCATGCATTTATAGATTTTAAATGTTTTCTTCCCATCCAATAGAATTTGTGAATCTTCATATATGATACCTTGGAATTATGTATATTAATTTCATAACTGCAAAGTATTGAGCATTCATAGGATAGTCCTGCCATTTAGAATCAAAAAGAAACACACAAAACTGACAATTACAGCTTTTGAGTAGAAAAATTAGCATTTTTGGGGAAGGTTAAAAAGTTGA